AGGAGTTAAGTTTGTTTCACAACAATGGTTGTAAAAAGATGCGACATGTTTCTTCCAAATGCACAACCAGAGACAATTCGTCCATGAGCTGCCAGAACACATTTCACGTGAAGCATAAAAAATCCCAGGAGCTGAGGAACGAAGAACTCAACCCAGATGAATACAAGCCAGCCAAGCATTTCTAAAGAACATTAGAAAGCATCCTAGGCAGCCCTCCACGTCATCACTGTGGTTATTACTATAATGATTCCTCCCTCACTTTGCAGTTAGCCATATGCATGCTACACAAGGTCACAGGCTGCCCTCCCCTGGTTTTCCAGACACATAAAACCAACAAGCCAGGGAAGGCTGAGCTAATGGCCCTGGAGAGAGATGAGCTGCAAATCACCATTCTCCTCAATTTACGCCAAATAAATAGATGGAACCTCATGCCACACATGGAGGGACTGTGATCCAAAGAAAACCCTGGACAACGTCACCTCCTCCCTGTGTCCCCACATCTTTTCCCTCTCCTCCCTCCCCCACTGCCACATCACAATCCCATTACAGAGAATGGGTGGACCAAGGACGATGGGTTTCATGTGGGAAGAGAACCAAGCTCACTGGAGAAAAGCAGTTCTTCTAAGACCCTCACATCAAAGGAAGACTTGCAGGAGAAAATAAGGAGCTTACTTTAAAGCAGAGAGGTTGAAATCCCAGGGATGAGAGAAATTCAAATGAACACATCTTTTAAGTGGTTCCTGTCCTTTCCCGCACCCCTGCTCTGTCAGCTTCCATATTGTGGACCTCCTGATTCTCCAGCACTCCTTTTGTTCACTGGAAGAAAACCATTTTTGTTGGCTCTACTCAAAAGGCAGCTATGATGTCTCTGGGGTGATAACACTTCATCTCCTCCTGCTAAATTATTTGATCCAGAACACAGATATTGGAAAATTCAAATGGTTTCTTTGGTTTCTATTATCATACCCAAACCAAAAATCATGGGGTGTCCTTGACCCCAGCACATGCCCTCTACTTTCAACCCATCTCTGACATTGGCCAGGGGGTTCCCAACAAGCTACAGTCAGAAATCATGGCCTCCATGCAAGCACGGGAGTCTCCCCCAGTGACACATCCAGAAATGCCATGTGCTATTAGGAAGTTTCTTTTCAAGTCATGGGTAGTTGTCCAGAGAAGAAAGCATGTCCTTCCCTTTACAAATGCATGTTGGAAAGTTGAGTAAATCAGAAACAGACGGCACCCTGAGTTTGTAGCTGGCCTCTATGAAAATCCTCATAGATGATGATAACAGTCATGATGTTGAGTGATCTCTTTCTCCAGGTTTTGTGACAATACTAGTCTCTGTAACTTCTCCTTATAAGACTTCAATATTTTCCTATTTCACAATTTGTCTGGCTCTCTCCATCTGGCCTAAGAAGAGCCTATTCTCATGAACAACAAAGGCAGCTATTGATGCATATAAGATGGGTTCATTTTGCTGAATATACCTACAGGATATTCTTCCTACATCAGCATTTTCTAAAAGACAACCAATACTTCATAGCAAAAATTAGATTAACAGGATCATGTCCAATTAGATAAAAATACTAGACCAAGCAATCTCTCTGATGTGTTAAACCACCTGGCTTTCCATTGGCTTCTTTCAAATGTTCTGTTTCTGCAGATCCATGCTGCAGCCCATCAGCTTGGAAAACACATCTCTTCCTTCTCAAATGGAAAGCCCACATGTTGATGATGGGTTTTTCCAGTTGATGGTTATGGCAGGGAGCAGTCTGATGCCTCACCTCGCTACGGTGGAAGAAAGGAAGCTAACCAATCAAAGTGTGCACCTACATAGCCCCAACTGCCCTCCAGATGGGGTAGTCCCTCCCTGCACCTCAAAGTAAATTAGATTGATGCCAAGGGTCACCTCTTGAGCATCATCCAGATAATGAGGATGTCTCAGGGTGGCCACACTCTAGCTGCACAAAACCCCAGTCAGTGCTGATGGCCTCTGCTCACCATGAGTGTTCCAAAGGTCATGTTATTAACTAGTCATTCAATTGCCCAGGTTTTTATACCTTTTTATTGCTCTGGTTTATTCCTACCCTCCCATGCAACTCTTCGTCCTTATATTGCTTTTTTTGTCTTTGAGATGGGGTCTTGCTCTGTTGCCCTGGCTGGACTACAGTGGCACAATCATAGCTCACCGTAACCTCAAACTCCTGGGCTCAAGCAACCTTCCTGCCTCTGCCTCCTGAGTAGCTAGGACTACAAGTGCTCTCGATCATGCCCAGCTAATTTTTCTACTTTATTTTTTATTTTTGTAGAGACTTGTTTCAAATTCCTGGGCTCAAGCAATCTTCCTGCCTTGGCCTCCCAAAGTGCTGGGATTATAGGCATGAGCCACTGCTCCCAAACTCATCCTTCCATTCCCAAGATCTCCTCCTACATGAAGCCTTCATGGTTTCTGAAACACCTTTTCCTATAGTCACCTTAGCCCAAAAACACGGCAGCCTATTCTTGACCTGATCTCTGTAACCTCAGTGGGAATATTTGGATTGGAGGATGATGGATTCTCCCCAGAGGACCCCACAGACAGCAGTGCCCCCTGTTCAAGACCATCCTCATATGTTATTTCCCTAATGGCATCATAAAATCAGAAAGCTACAACTTTTGAAATGCCTCTCAAAAGTTTAACCAATTGACCAGAGTACTGGATTACTGTGTAAAAGTCACACATTCGTGCCTTCTCTGTGACTCATCCTGAGGGAAAGGCAAGTCAGAGGACATGAGTAGAAAACCAGACCAAGTCCTGGGCCCAGTTCTACCAGCCAACCATATTGTGGAGCTCCTAATTTTAGATGAGGAAAGAGAATTAGTCATTGAAGTAGCTTCCTTGGCTCTCTAGAAGGAAACCATCTTTTACAGGTTCAGGCCCAAAGACAGCCATAGTTGTAAACAAGATGGTCTCTTACTAGCTACATCATCAGGGAAACTTTCTGAGTTTTTGTTTCCTTGCTTGCAAAGTGAGAATAACATAACAGCCTACCTGCAGCCCCAAGGCAATAGCTTGAGAATGGTTCTGAAAGTGCACGTGGGAGAGAACAAGGCTGTATTCAAGGGACCTGTTTCATTTGGATGAAAACCGACAACAATCCAAATCTCTTCCCCTTCTCCATGGGCATGAGCCATGGGTTTAGAGTTCTGCCTGGAAATATTCGGGATAGAAGGGGAATGGGAGGAGATCTGAAGTAACTCCCTAGAATAGCATGTGCTGCTTGCTTTTATAGACTGGACAGAATGTAATACATGTGGAAGACAGAAGAGTCATTTACTAAGTATGCTAAGATACATTTGGACAGGCAGTTTGAAGGTCTTCAGGAGACTGAAATTTCCATTGTAAAGACAGCAACTAGAAGCATCATAATAAAGTGCTTACTACCTTCCAGGCTCTGCTGAGAGTTTTCTATGTATTTACTTGGTTCATCCATGTAATAGCTCTAAAAGGTAGCAATCATTATCATCACCCCTTCCCTCAAATTAGCCAATAAGGGGTTGAGTAAGGGGTCAACCTTCAACCCCACATAATGAAGAAGCAGAGTCCGTATTCTCAGCCACTGCAGGTGGTGAGTTGTAGGAAGTCTTTTCTTTAGCACAGTAGCTACACTGACCATTGCTCCCACTCCTGGCTCTACCCATGTAGCACGTGCAGTCCTTACTGCTCATCTGCAGATCCATTTGGGTGCAAACTCACTTTTCTGTCCAGCATGTGTAAGTGTGAGTCTGTCTGTCTCAGAAATAAGAGTATGAGCTCGTGAAGGACAAGAAAGGCTGGGTGCAGTGGCTAAAACCTGTAATCCCAGCACTTCAAGAGGCTAAGGCAGAAGAATCACTTGAGCCCAGGAGTTCAAAAGCAACCTGGGTAACATAGAAAGACTTTATCTCTACAAAAAAAAATAAAAACAAAAAAATAGCCAGCTGTGGTGGCCCAAGCCTGAGGTCCCAGCTCCTCCAGAGGCTGAGGCAGGGAGGATCGCTTGAGCCCAGGAGTTCAAGAGCAGCATGGGCAATATACAGCAACTCCATTT